CCCCAAAACCCCAAAACCCCAAAACCCCTTAAATAGAAAAATAAATAGATTAAAATAGAATTAAAAAGTCAATTATCATATATTAAAAACTATCATAAATTATTGATAAAAATAGAAATGATATTTACACAAATATATTCATTATGCATGCTTCTACTTGTTTTTTTAATAAGCAAAGGAGCATTTGCTGTTTAAGAATGTATGGATATTAATTCTTGTAATAATTATTAAGGTCGAAACAATGAGGTTTCATTTGGAATTATTGGAGCTACTGGAGGGAAATTGAATGAAACAAGGTGCTATCGTAAGTTAAATATACATACTAATCATACTTATTCTGCTATATAGCTTGCTGAGCATTATTACCTGGTTGTAACTCATGTCAGATACAGAAGTTTACATATTATTCCCTTAACGAAACTTCAGAGGCACCTACAGAATAAATTTAAGAATTTCAGTGCGATTCCTGTGATCAAGGTCTGTACAGGTACACCTACTCTAAAATATTTCAGTATCCAACTAATGTTTAAATTGAAATATCTATTCCTGTTACTACATGTGTACCAGACTGTAGAGCTGTGAACTATTAATATACAAATAACCCTGTAACAAGAAATTGCGATTTTCTGGGCTATTACTGCTAATATGGAAACTTTCTTGATGGATGCTTACAATGCTAACTTGAAAATAGTATTTCATCACAATTAGATTAACCAAGCAATATAGAGTTTTATATAAAGGGAGATACAAGCTTTGTAACGACTCTGAATGATACAATACTTACAGAGGATACATTTCTTACTAAGAACGACTACTAATTTTGTCTAACATGTTAAAATTCAGAAATATCTCGACCATATATAGAAAATGTGAATCCCTATAGCTAATGCGGTACTATTTGATGGAATAAAACTTATAGAATATTCAAGAAATTGTTAAGATAAAAATGCAAGTTAAATTATCTTCAATAAATGTCAAACTTGTTTAACAGATAAAATAGATGGAGAAAATTAATGTTCTAATTGCTGGTTTGGATACAAGATTAAAGAGATGGTAATTAGATTTCTGTTTATTATTGATTTTAGTAGAATTTATTTGATGACTTCACCTAAGTTTGTAATTTAAATGTTTAAAATTTTTAAAGGTGAATTGGATGGTGATAATAATATTTATGGAGGAGTTCCATTTTGCCAGAAATACGATGGTGAATAAAATAATTATGAATGTAAGAATCTAATCAAAATTCCTCTTTTAGGCTTAAGATGTATTGAAGGCTATATTCTCTATGGTGGTTAGTGTGTGCAGTAATGTCCTGTTGGGTATTATGTTTAATATGATTCGGATTTAAGTGACAATTAATATACTATTCCTAAGGCTCCAAGATGCGAAATATGCTACATTGACTGCTATGAATGCCATGAATAGGGCTAAGATAAATGTACATCTTGCAAGAAAGGTTCATACTTGCTCATAAACAATGTTGAATTATAAACTGGATAGTGCTAACTGAAAGTGGAGTATTCAGAAGAATTCAATTTATATGTTTCAAGTACAAGAGTTATTGAAGCACAGCCCTCTGCTTACTTCAAGGAACCATTAAATCAATACTAATTTGATTCAATTATAATGGCAATAAATCGAGCATATGAGTTAGCTGCACCATTTATTGGAACTACAGTTAACATAATTCTAAATGATGCTGAGTATGGTATATTTCTATCGGATTTAAGGAAAATTTATTTGCATGTTTAAGCAAAAGATCTCATTAACCCGAAATTCACACTCAAAATAATGTAAGTTTGGCTATATTTATTAAAGGATATAACTATAGATCTACATATGCAACTAAATCAGTTATCTATAATAAGGTAGGTGGAGCATTTAGGATCTAAGTTCCCTAAAATCTTGAATTCACCAATATAATTTTCGATGGAATAGACTCAGCCTTGTCAAGTATTTTATTTTGAAAATATCTATATTGTAGTAACGAATTATTTATCTGAAACATGCTTGAATTAAGTCAAGCCATGCTGCACTTATAGTTCAATTACTAGATAAATAACATGTGGGGATACCTAAAATTCAGCAATCAATATTTATAGGTAGTGCTAATTTTAATTTATAAGTGATAATTATTTTAATAGAAAATAATCTTGTCCAGTGAGAATTACAAACTCTCTATTTGAGATGAAGTCTCCAAAATAATCAATGATAGAATTTTACTCTTTTAAAATTACAGTAAGCCTAATCTATATATTAATTTAACTCAATAGGATTGTGTATTCAGGAATATATTTTATGACATTGGATCACTAGTTCGTGTTCCAAGTCTTATGCCTTACTAAATAAAATTAATTGGATCTGAATTTCGAAGTTTTAGTATTTGTGGCTCTATATTTTCGAATGATCAAGCAAATAATGATTTGTATACTAGCGAAGCAACTAATATTTTCAAAACACTTTCTGAAGGTTTAAATGTTTGGAAAGAATAGGAATAATTGGAGTATAATAAGTTTTATTCTAAAAATTCTACTACTGATATAAAATCAACAATTATTTTTAAAGATAACACTTTCACAAATATGCATGCTCTAAAAGATATTCTAGAGTAAAATATTGAGCCTGTAACTTAGGAGAAAAAACATATCGGTCTAATTCTGTACTTGGTTAAATTTGATGGATCAGTTTATTTCTATAACAACGTATTTAAAGATATAATCTAGTCTAAATCGCCTTGCACCAATAATTAAACGATTACTGATCCTTCAGCTATTAATGGCTATTTTGAGAATGTGATTTATTTGAATGTTTACTAATTGCAATTTCAAAACTTAATTAGCATTATAAGCATGAAGCAAGGATTCATCAATATTGAGAAAAACAAATTTGAAAATATCTTATTGACAAACTCTTTAATAAGAATTTAAGGTGAGCTAGATAAAGAGGTAATACATGCTCTTATTGAAGAAAACTCTTTCCTCAACATTATAGTAAAAGGAGGAGCAGGAATAATACACTTTGAAAAACAAAATATGGGTTCGGCAATTACTAAGATATCAAAGATGACTAAATGCGGTGGAGGATTAACTATAAAAAATAACACCTTTAAATTGATAATAGGATGTGAAATGGTTGATTCAAGTTTGTTTTTTATCGGATGTTATAACCAAGATTACTATTTCTCATAACCATACATGTTATCATAGGAATCATAGTATGAGAAATTCCAGTCTGATTACTAAGTACTGAATAAATTTTAAGAATTTTAAGATAATTTGATTGCGGCATCTTCAAAAACAAGTGAAAAAGTAGCTGTTTAAAAAATGAATCCAACCACTTCTTCTATAAATTTGGCCTCCAATTTGGATCCAAATAGAATAATTTTGTATTTAAACACGTATGAAGATTGCTACAGAGGAGTTACAATGAGAGATACTCAATGGAACTCTGAATTTCTCGGAACTCTTATTTCTTTTGTAAACATACCTTGGATTGAAGTAGATTCAGAGGAATATTTAAACATTGGACCATTTAATAAGAATTAGTTTGATTTGATTGCTAAGTAATTGGGAATATAAGGAAGCTTGACATTATAGTAAGATTATATATACAATTAATTGAAGGGATGTTGTATTTTTTCCCTTTCTGGTGTTTCTAATTTCTCCATTACTGGTACTTCTTTCTAAAACGTTTGGACCATTGATGATGCATATGTTGCTTTTAAAAGTAGTCAGAAATAAGCTATAATAGCATATTTTCTGTATTATTATGGAGAAGTATAATTAGGATCAAATTCTTAATATAGATCATATAATGAGTTTTAAAATATAGTTGGCACATTTAATTCCCTAACTACAACGAGATATGGTTGGAATCCTTTAATGGCTACTTATAAACTAAATAATAAAGTCAATTTGGGTGCTAGTTAACCCTTATTCTATATTAATTTCTAGAATTGCACTTCTTTTACCTTGAGCAAGTTCAATTATCATGACAATTATGCTCAGTTCTAGGAAGATAGTGATTTGAGTCTTATTGTCACTGTAAAAGATTAGAAAAATCCATTCAGATCAATTAAAACAAAACTAATTGATGTATAAATAAATTCTGTTTATGCTGATAGAGGAGCACCATTTTTCGAAATTTAATCCTCTTAAATCGATTTAGAAAATGTCTATATACAAGATGTAGGCAGCAGGTTTTAATTTTTATTGATGGATAATTATAATTAAGTACCAAATAATAACTAAACATAGCCAATCTTCAAGATTAACATACTATCAACAAGCAATCGAGATGAATATTTCAATGTTAAATCAAGTATATTTTCTGAAATTAATGGAACTGATGTTCCATTGTTTATGATAGCATCTACTGCTACTGTAACCTCTGAGAAATAAATCGTTAAATTTTAGAGTACTAATTTTTACAGTAATATCGGAAAGAGTGCTGCTATATTAAAGATTCCTGAGAATTTGATGAATGGAATACTTTTTAATGATTGCATTTTCTCTAAAAATATTGGTGATTGTAAGTAAATTTGTTTCAGGATTTTTCTATAATCTTAATATTCTGATTATAAGATGTATTAATCTTGATTTATAGATGGCTTAATGAGAGTAACTGCTAAAATTGGAACCATATAATTTTAACAATGTGAATTTTCAAGTAATTATGGAAAACTTGCTAAGGATATTTATATTGAAGGGTCTTCTACCTCTCAAATGTTGATATATGAGAGTAGATTCAAATAAACGGAGGTTGATTCATAACAAATTAGAGATAATATCATCGATAATGATCATGAAAGCTATTTTTTAGATCCATCAGGGGTGGTTCTCATATCTATATAATAAGTAAAAATAGTCAATAGCAGAATTGAAAATTATCATTTTGCATAAAGTGGAGGCTTTATTAGATTAGAATCCAATTCAAAGGCCGAAATGATTAACTGTAATATTTAAGAATCAAGTGCAAATTAAGGTGGAGCAATTTTAATATAAAAGAGTAGTGAGATAATTCTTAATGGCTGTACAATTGAACTTTGCTAGGCTTATTAATCTGGAGCAGTTTAAGCATAAGACACATCAACACTTACAATTATTTCATCTAAGTTTGTCAATAATTTTGGAGTTGACTAAGGAGTCTTTAGTATTTAAGGCTATTCTAAATTTTCATGTGATGACTGCTTTTTTTAAGCAAATGAAGCCTATACATAAAACTCTGTGGGATAAATTGTCTAATCATAGATTGCCTCAATGACAAACTCTAGATTTTTTTCAAACTTCATTTCTCCTGGAGGCTCTTATAATTTATTACAGATTATATCCTCAAAAGTTACCTTCTCGTATATTACCTTCAAGAATAATATTTCTTAAAAGAATTCTGCCGGAATATCAAGCATACTGTCAAAAATAATAATATCAAATAGCTTGTTCTACAACACTTTATCTTCTATAGGCTTTGAAAAAGTAAATGGAAATTTCATTCAAATTATGGCCGAGTCAAGTATCGAAATAAAAGACTCGACATTTAAAAAAGGTATGGGAAAAGAAGGAGGTGCTATTTATATGCTTGGATTTTCATAATTAGTTATTGAGAATTGTAACTTTACAGATTGCTCAGTTGATAATTAAGGTGGTGCAATTTACGCATCATCTTTTGATAAAATAGATATTATCAATTCAAGGTTTGAGGGCAACAAAGCAAAAGTATTTGGAAGTGCAATATATGCTTCAAATTCAATAGGAACTTTGAATGTCAACAAATCTTCGTACTTTTATTCAAAAGATTCTTCTAACTTTATCTATTTTTCATCATTAGAAAAAGCAAATATAACTGCAACAACTCTAGCAAGCAGCTCAATTGATGAGGATACATCATCAACTTACTCAGCTATTTATCTAGACAGTCTTAAATTGTTCTATTTTAGCTAATCCACAATGAAATAAATTGTAGCTAATTATACTGGTGGATGCATGTACATAAGTGAAGCTGCTAGTAGCAAGCAGACTGCAAATTTTGATCGATATTTTATCGACAACTCTGTTTTTAGTAATTGTAAAAGCCTCAGAGGAGGTGCTATATTTCTAGATTCAGTACAAGGTGTAACTATTGGAAATAAAACTACATTCAGTAATAACTATGCCTATGTTTCAAAGTTCAGTAGTATTAGTGATTAGGCTGAGGGCATTGGAGGGGCTGTAAATTTCTATTGTTAAACTGGAGGTAATATAGATAACTTAGCATTTAATATATTTAGACAAGAAATGTACACTAAAATTCTCAGATGTGTCTTTTTAAAATAATAGAGCTCAATATATAGGTGGTGCAATTTAGTGGAATTATTTGGAACCAACTTTTAAAAATGTAATAACGTAGCGTTTAACAGAATTACAGGTAAATTATAAAAATAACACTGCTGGAGTTTATGGAGACAATATCTCTTCAGTTTCAAGAGTCCTCTAATAACTGACAAAAGATTAGTACCTGTCAGTCAAGGCTAAATTCGATACATCTACATCAAATGAAAGAATGATCAGAGCACTATAGGATAATAGCTAGCAAGGAATAACTTAAAAATAAAAATCAGGAGGAGTAATGGACCCTATATATTTCGCATTAATAGACAAGTACGGATTCATTGTAACAAGTGATGAAACGAGCAAACTGTACCTGCAAGTAAATTAAAACTCAAACTATAAATACTAAACTACTTTTGAGACTGAGACAACATTTTCAATAAAAAACGGTGTTTTTGCAGTTGATAATTTAGTAGTAGTCGCTCAACCGAATTCCCAATAATGTATATATAAATGAAACATCTAAAATACATTATAGCTTTCAGCTTTTCAACTGATGGCATTGACTACAATATACCCGATAATGCAGCTTATTATTTGGAATAAAAAAACCAGCTAAAACTAGACACGGTTTAAAAGAACCTAGGTTTTAGTTTAACGTTTAGGGATTGTGAACCTGGTGAGGCCTTGCTATCAAGTGGCAAATGCTCAGACTGTAGTGAAGGAACTTACTTGTTGATAACTTCTACAGGAACATCAAGTTGTAAAGAGTGCTAATCAGATATCTCATATTGCTTAGGAAAAGATTTAGTCTATCCAATGAAAAATTATTGGAGAAGTAGCAAAAGCAGCGATAATTTTATTAAATGTAGAAACCATATATAGTGCTTGTAAGTATTTATTTTAGACTTATTTTTAGGGGAATGAATCCTCCAGAAAACAATTTCTTAGGCGCCTGTGCTGAGGGTTACTAAGGAATATTATGCTCTGATTGTAAAATTGGATATTCGATCACAAACAATTTCGAATGTTCAAAATGTCCTGATGATTTATCAAATTCATTTAAGCTTTTGGCTTTATCCGTATTAATTATAACTGCTCTTGTATTCTTGATTAAATTTACAATTGCTGGTGCTCTTGAGCAAAAGAATTACCTCTCAGTTTTTATTAGAATTTTAATGAATCACATTTAGCTTTTGATAATCACAGCTTCTTATGATTTATAGTGGCCAGATTAGTTGATTTAATTCTTCAATTCAGTGAAACCTGCATCCGAGGTAACTACTTAATTCCTTTCTCTAGATTGCTTCATTGATACCAGAAAAGATAATAATGATAAAGGTACAATAAGATCTTTCTATGCAAAAACAATAATGCTAGCTCTAGCTCCAATTCTAGCTGTGATTACCTGCTTTTGTGCTTGGAGGATTATTTTTTATCTTCAAGAAAGAAAGAAAAACAAAATTTCAAACAGGAAATTTGATATCAATTTAGATTAGTCTAGTCAAAGAAAAGGCCTGACTACTTAATAAGTGAATACAACAAATCAAGAGGAATATGAAAAAGTTTCTAATATGAGCATCATAAGTAAAAATCCATTGAATTAGCAAAAGCTACAATCGATGGAGACTGACGGAGAAATTAAAATGACAACTGATTAACTTGATGAAAGTTAAGAAAGCATAATCTTGCAAGAATAAGATAGAAGGAGAGGAAGAGTTGTTTCATCAGTTATTATTATACTGTTCTTTATTCATCCTACTATCACTACATAGATGTTCAGTGCATTCAGGTATCTCCTTAATTGGTATAATCTTAACTTTAGTTGCCAAGATATTGATGGATAAATGAGATTATACAGTGATTTAGAAGTTATTTGCTATTCAGGTTATCATAAAGTTGTGGCATACGGAATAGCATTACCATCAATTTTACTTTGGAGTATTTAAATTGAATTTTATCTAATTTTAATTATAGGTCTTGGTATTCCTGCTTACGGATTCTTTTTGCTTTTTATAAACAAAGACAAGCTGTAGAATATATACATTAAAGAGAAATATTCTTTCCTCTACAATGGATATAAAGGGCATTCCTTTTTCTGGGAGATTTTTATTATATACAGGAAAATCATATTTATTTTCATATAGGTGTTTTTGGCTCAAGTTGGCAAAATAGTCCAGGTAATAACATAGTGAATAATTCATAATAGGCTCTTGTGATTATTGTAGTCTTAATAATTTGCATTGTGGCAAATAGCTTGAAATTACCATTTGAGCATCACTATCTCAATAATCTTGAGACTTTGTCCTTGCTTTCTTCTGCTCTCACTATTTATTGCGGTCTTTTCTACATTTCAGGTCATGAGGGTCTATGTAAATTTTTTATCTTACCAATTTATCCTTTGTAGTTGATTTAAGCAATACCGGCAAATTAATATTATTTGCCATTATCGTAGCTGTTAATGGAATGTTTCTAATTTACTGGATTATCAGATTTATGATTGAACTAAAATAGACTATTTCACTAAAGTTTCCAAGAATATACTTTGCAATGTTTCTATGTTTCAGTTAAAAGAAAAGAGAAAAAGAAAAAATGCTCCAAGACTATTTAAAAAAGCACACAAAATTCATTAAAAATTATAGCACGATATGTGAATGTAAGTAAACTGGTTATTTTATCATTATATTTATAGACTTAGTTTAAAATATGAAACTTTATAATTCTGGTCTTATTCCTCCAGAAGATAGCGAACTATAATTACTGACTTTAAAGTTGATGCAATTTAAAGCATAGATGGATAATTCAAGAAAATTAAAATCTCTTCAGAACCTCTCTGTAGAGTAATTACTAATTTAAAAAGATATGAATAACCTGTTGAGTAAGACATTGATTTTATCTCTTATCAATTTTTCAGATCAATATAAGCTAAGACCGAAATTAAATCTAAATAATAATAATGATTAAAATAGTAATACAGTAGAAAATAATGTGAAAAATGAAAGTTCCAGACAATGTGAAATAGATTTTGAATTTGACAACAATGAAAACGATGAGCAGCAAACGAATAGGGGTCAAAGGAAAAACTATCCAATAAATTAGACATTTGATGAATAAGATGATGAAATGATATATGGTGACAATAAACTAATTAAGAAAATATTTTTCGAATTGAAATCATAAAAGAAGCCAGGAACTTCTTACTCTTCAAAATCAATAGAAAATGATAATAGTCTCTTTAGGAATAATCAGATTGGCATTGATTAAACTTTGTCAGAATATCCCTATAACTTAATATTCAAGAATCAGGTTTTGATTTCTGGGATTGATGAAGAACCAAATATTAAAGTAGAGACTTAATTCAAGAAATAAATCTACTAAAAAAAAGATATCACATCTCTAGAATTCACTGACGGGTATACTCAAAAAGATAAAAGACTTAGAAAGAACAGTAGTCTACAAGAAAACCATTAAAATGATTTAAAGCAACAAATTGAATAAGAGGAGGAATTGATCCAAAGCTTTAGGAAATTGAAACAATAAGAGAGACAATCTAATTATTCTGACGATAATTTAAAAAAATTCAACATAGAATTCTAAAGCAAATAATTTAATAAGTTTCCTTAACACAGGCAAAATTTCATAAGTCTTTATGATATAAGCTAGACAAAATAATTGGATTAGGATAAAGATGAGGATCTTTAATTAACCATTTAGTCTTCAGAAGGTTATGATTCTAATAATTTTATGAGCTAATTGGAACAGTACTAGAGTAAAGATATAAATAGCAGAGAGCAATAAAATATAGAATTCAAAGGAAGTAGCAGAATTGGTAAAGATATTTCATTTGGGCGGAACTAGATTATAGGTTATAAAACATTTGATAAAAACAAGAGGAAAAGATTGAGTCAGTTAGATTAGAAATAAATGAAAGAGATATTTGGTAAAAAACTTAGAGACTCTAGATTTAAACGAAATTTCTAGGCTACTGATTCAGGAATCTATGAGATGCCTGTAGTTCCAGTAGATTATGATGATAATGCTATTGATGAATAATTGTCTCTTGATTTTGAAGATGATAATGATTTTGAAACAAATGAGCTATAATCTGAGATTATAGAGAAAAATAAAGCTCCTAAGGAGTTTTAAAGTTAATAAGAGTATGTAGATCTCAGCAATTAGAAATCAAATTAGCTTTTCAAAAATGATAGCCTAGATATTAATGATTTATGAACTTTGTAATGATTATCTCGATATCATAGCCATTAATTTGTTTTATTTATCAATGCTAATTTTTGCTATAAATACAGGATTATGGGGTTTTGGGGTTTTGGGGTTTTGGGGTTTTGGGG